TAATACGTGGTCTTTTATGTCTGGCTTTTACTTAGGATAAGGTTTTCAAGGTTCATCCACGCAGTATCATGTATCAGTATTTCATTTCTTTCTTTTTTTTTTTTAAAGATTTTATTTATTCATTTGACAGAGATCACAAGTAGGCAGAGAGGCAGGCAGAGGGAGAGAGGAGAAAGCAGGCTCCCCGCTGAGCAGAGAGCCCCATGTGGGGCTCGATCCCAGGACCCTGGGATCATGACCTGAGCCGAAGGCAGAGGCTTTAAACCACTGAGCCACCCAGGTGCCCCAGTATTTCATTTCTTTTAATCGCCAAATAATATTCCATTGTATGGCTAATAGCACATTTTGTTCGATCCATTCATCAGTTGATAGACATATGGATTGTTTCCATTTTTTGGCCATAAACATTCATGTGCATGTTTTGTATGGCTAGGTTTTCAGTTCTCTCTCTCTCTCTCTTTTTTTTTTTTTTTTTTTAGATTTTTATTCACTTGGCAGAGAAAGAGACAGCAAGAGAGGGAGCACAAGCAAGGGGAGCAGGAGAGGGAGAAGCAGGCTTCCCGCTGAGCAGGGAGCCCAAAACGTGGCTCCATCCCAGGACCCCAGGATCACGACCCGAGCTGAAGGCAAATGCTTAACCGAATGAGACACCCGGGCAGCCCTGGATGTTTGCCTCTAAATTCTTGAGTTGGATAAGTTCTTTTTTTTTTTTTAAAGATTTTATTTATTTATTTGACACAGAGAGATCACAAGTAGACAGAGAGGCAGGCAGAGATAGAGGAGGAAGCAGGCTCCCCGCCGAGCAGAGAGCCCGATGCGGGACTCGATCCCAAGACCCTGAGATCATGACCTGAGCCGAAGGCAGCGGCTTAACCCACTGAGCCACCCAGGCGCCCCGGATAAGTTCTTTATATGTTCTGTATATAAGTTCCTTTATCAGACATATGATTTTCAAATATACTTTTATTCTCTTGATGGTATCATTTGTAGCACGTTTTTAATTTTGATGTAGTTTAAATTTATTTATTTTTTTCTTTCATTGCTTGTGCTTTCAGGTGTCACCTAAGAAACCATTGTCTGACTCAGGGATGTAAAAATTTACTCTTATGTTTTCTCCTAAAAGTTTTATAGTTTTAGCTCTTACCTTTAGACATTCAAAATGGTCCATTTTGAATTAATTTTTACAAATAGTGTGAGATCGTTGTCCAGCTTCATTCTTTTGCATCTGGGTATCCAGATGTCCCATATGATTTTTTTTTCTTTTTTTATTAGTATTTGCCTAATATACCCTCCTATTACTTTATTTTTAGATAGCATCATAACTTTGTAATTTAGATGTTAGGTATGTGAGATACAACAGTTACCCCCATTTTACAGATTTGATGAAGTGTCTGTCACTTCATTAAATGAAGTGACAGATCCATGTCACTTCATGGATGACATGAAGTTGAATGACAGATCCATGCACAGAGACAGGAAGTCAGGACAATGGATAGGATAAGCATTCTGATTTCTCATCCCGCCCTCTGAGCCATTTAAACAAGCCCACCTCACTCGCAATAAATTCTGAATATTCACAACAGCTCATCCCCTGGAGTGGTCAGAGGTAATTATGCCTGATTCACAGAAACTTTCAAAATAGTGATACATGTCAATTTTCTCACTTTGGAGATCAAGGCTGTTGGACAGACACAAGAGGGCTCTGAAAAAGTGGCAAGGGACAATTAAGACCCTCTTACACCACAATATTTCTACTACCTTAGCTTTTCCCTACCTTTTTAAAAAAAAAAAAGATTTTATTTATTTATTTGACAGAGAGAGAGACAAGAGAGAGAGGGAACACAAGCAGGAGAGTGGGAGAGGGAGAAGCAGGCTCCCCACTGAGCTGGGAGCCCTATGCAGGGCTTGATCCTAGGACCCTGAGATCATGACCTGAGCTGAAGGTAGAGGCTTTAACCCACTGAGCCACCCAGGTGCCCCAGTTTTTCCCTATCTTTTTTTTTTTAAAAGAATTTATTTATTTATTTGACAGACAGAGATCACAAGTAGGCAGAGAGACAGGCAGAGAGAGAGGTAGAAGCAGGCTCCCCGCTGAGCAGAGAGCCCGACATGGGGCTCGATCCCAGCACCCCGGGACCACGACCCGAGCTGAAGGCAGAGGCTCTAACCCACTGAGCCACCCAGGTGCCCCTTTCCCTATCTTTTGTCTTTATTTATTATGCATATGACTTACGTTTGCACAATTACTTTTTGTAATTCAGTTCATTAGCCTTTCCACCCAGTGAAAGATTTTGTTATTGTACTCCTTTAATGAGCACTAAGAAAATTTGATGTTAGTATACAGGGAAAGGATTGACAAGCAGATGTGCTAGAGAACAGAATCAAGAGGCTTTGGAAGTCCATGGTCTAACTGAGGGGCTCTTAGCCTTGGCAATATTGACATTCTGGACTAGATAATTCTTGGTTGTGGGGACTGTCCCGTGCGTTGCAAGATGGTTAGCAGCATCTCTGGACTCTACCCACTAGATGCCAGTAGCGGCACCTGCTAATCAGCAGCTGTGGCAACCAAAAATGTCTCCAGACACTGCCAAATGCCTCCTAGAAGGCAAAATTACTCAGGATTGAGAACTACTGATTTAACCATATAATCTCTTTCTCCAATCCTTTCCACACCCCCAATACAGTAGTTCAGTTGTTAAATATTTTAAAAAATTCCTCATGGTCTGCATCTCTTGTATTATATTATGGTCTCTGAAAATCTAAGTCTTAACTGAAAGGTAGCTTTATTTATTTATTTATTTATTTGACACAGAGAGAGAGAACAAGCAGGGAGAGTGGAAGTGGGAGAAGCAGGTTCTCACCAAGCAGGGAGCCCCATGACAGACTTCATTCCAGGACCCTGAGATCATGACCTGAGCCAAAGGCAGACACTTAACCAACTGAGCCACCAGGCGCGCTGAAAGGCAGCTATTTCAAAAGTGGAATAATGGGCTGATACGTAGTTCGCTGTGTCACACTATTATTATAGCCCCACAGGTATGTGTTTGAAAAGTGAGGGAAAAAACAGCACCTGTCAAAAGTGGTGCTGATAGCTTCTGATTTCTGAGGCCCGTGAGACACAAAGTCCAACTAGAAAGTTCTATTATGAGCATTAAATTCCCTAGAACTCTTTCAATATTTGAAGGCTGTATAATTCAGGGTATCTTGCTCTGCAAATTGAAAAGATAGGAGATCTACACTTCTTTAATGTAAATTTGAATTTTTATAGAGTATGTTTTCATGAAGTTGGCAAGACTAACTATGTCAAGAAAAAGATCTCAGTTATATGTGCTACACAGATTTAATTTTTGGCTCTGAGAACTCCTAGTGCTACTGGATCAAGTCAGAAAGTTTTTTTTTTTTCATTCCAGTATAGTTAACATACAGTGTTAGTTTCAGGTGTACAATATAGCGATTCTCTAAATCAGAAGGAACTTGCTCAGCCTCTTGCAAAATTCTTCATTGTGTTTATTTGGAATAAAGCAGATATCAGTTAAAATATGCAAGCACTGAACAACTGAATTTTTCCTATATTCACAAAAATACACAACCATATTTTATTCTGGATAATTAAAATATTTATTAAAAAAAACACCCAGTTGGATAAAGCAACATGCACTAGGTTCTCACAGTATCAAAGTTTATTCTTCAAAGTCATGCACTTGCATTCCAATTATTAGTTCTATTTTTGACATTGGGGTATCTGGCTCAATACTGAGTATCTCTGAGGGTTACCTGTCATCTTTTTAAAAAGATTTTATTTATTTATTAGAGAGAAAGAGAGACAGAGCACCTAGCAAGGGAGAAGGGCAGAGGGAGAAAAAAAAAAAAGCAGTTTTCCTATTGAGCAGGGAGCCCCACCTATCTTTTGTCACAGAGGATTTTTTTGTTCCCAATTTTGTTCCCAAGTTCCTGACTAATAACGATACTGCATTACTCTTTAAATCTTTGGGGGCGCCTAGGTGGCTCAGTGGGTTAAGCCTCTGCATTTGGCTCCTTTGGCTGGGGTCATGATCTCAGGGTCCTGGGATGGATCCTCGCATCCGGCTCTCTGCTCAGCAGGGAGCCTGCTTCCCCCTCTCTCTCTGCCTGCCTCTCTGCCTACTTGTGATTGCTCTCTGTTAAATAAATAAATACATAAAAATCTTAAAAAAAAAAAAGCATCTCTGCATGCACGGTGAAGGAAAAGATCACTAGTTTCTAGAACTGATTTCCGAGTTCCAGTTAAACAGTCAAAGCAAAAAGTATGGAGGAAAAGTCTCAGTGTTTCCAGTTAGGCCACAAAATGAAAAGTTAAAACATTTTCTTTAAAATATCAAACTCAATTTTTAATTTCATCGTGGTTGGGGACAATAGTGTCCGAAGTCCATGTCACCCTGTTCTGATGTACAGAGGCTCAGCCAAGCGATTTGGAGCCTATTTCTGCGGGGCATTTCTCAACTTGTTTGACTTCCAGGAGTCCCAGGGCTCTCTCGCCCTGCGGGGGCTCTGCGCGGGGAAGCTCCCTCTGGAGACCAGGTGGCTCTCCCGTTAGTCTCTGGCTCGCCCAGGTACCAGGGGGCGGCTTTGCCTGCCGCGCGGTGATACGGATGCTCCCTGGTTCCGACCCCACGCGAGCCTTCCTGCGAGCCCACCCCAGCAGCCTCAGACCCCGGGCGTTGGGTGGTCCCTCGAGCTATCCCGTGCAGCTCCGGGAAAGCTTGCGTCAACCCCACGCCCTTCGCTCGGCCGGCTTGCGGTGCCTGGGCACCTCCAGGTAGCGGGGCTGTCGGAGGCGCGCCCTTCCTGGCGGGCGCGAGAAGTTGGGCGCCCCGGGCCGGCTGCGGCGGCAGGCGGTCCAGGGAGAAGCCGGGCGGGGCGGCGGCGCGGGTCCGAGCGCCCGAAGCGCCGGCGGAACACGTGACCACGGCGCGCGGGGCCGGGCGCGCAGTGCCGCGCGGTGGCGGCGGCGGGGAGAGCAATGGAGGCCGCGGCCGCCTGAGGGGCGGGTGCGCTGCTGGTGCTGCTGCGGAGGCTGCCGGTGCTGCCGGGCAGCCGCCGGCTTACTCGCGTCCGCCGCCCGCGCGGGACCGCCGGTCGCCGTCCAGTTGCTCTGCCAGCCGCGGCGCCACGCGGGGACTCAGGTGAGCGCCTTGTCGGCCCGTGGTCGGAGCCAGACAATGGGGGCAGCCGGCGGGCTTCTCCCCTGCACGCGCGACCCCCCGGGCTGCGCCCCCGTGACGCCCCGGGATTCCCGACCTTGCACTGGCCCTGGGGGCGTGGGCTCGGCGTGGCGGGCCTGGGGACTTTGGGGCGGTGTCCCCGCGTGTCCGGTGCGGACCCTCCCCGAGAAACGGGGCGCTGGGTGTGCGCCGCTTTGGGTCTCACGCGAGGGAACCTGCGGACCGGCTGCGCCCCGGGAACTTGCCGAGAGCGTGGGACCTTCTAATTCCCTTTCTCCTACCCGCGCGGCGGCATCCTGTCCTGGGGTCCCGGGGTGGCGTCCCTGCTGCGGCGGGGGCAGAGCGAGACCTCGCCGTCTGGGATCTCAGACGATGACCGCGCTCAGCCCTCTCCCCACGCCGGAGCTGCATTGCTTTGTTTAACCTCTGCCAAGCCATTTCGCACAAAACTCTTGTTGCCCCAATTCTGATGAGCCACCAATCTGATGGCTGAGGCAAGACAAAGGTTCTCCCTGTTTACCAAGGGCTGGAGCCGGGGGACTGCACGCTGCCAGTGGTGTAAAATGTGTTTTCCTTATCTTCTCCCAGGCGTTCTTGCGATGGTTTTCCTGGTCCTGTTAACCGTCATTTCTTGCAGAGGTCTGTAGTGGTGAGATTGGACCTCCTAACCCTACGGATACGGTAGGTGGGGTATGGCTTTTATTCACGGTTATCAGTAACCAGGAGGACAGACGCTTACATTTGATGTTTGTTCTCAGAAAAGAGGCATCGTAATATTTTCTGAATTCTGGATTTTAAGAACGATTGTATACATAAAGACACATTGACTCGGTAGTTGGGGCGGGGTGGGGGGACGGATCTAGTAACTGCGACCATGTGTTGTGAAATTTTAATACGGTTTTACGAATAATGGCCCGGAAACTGATCCGGTGTAGGTAAGGGAGTGTGAGAATGTTGGGGTGGTGGTGATGGAGAGGGAGTGGTTAGAATACAAAGGATAAGGCAGTTTTAGTAAATGGTTCTTAGTAAATATCTTGTAGCAAATTTCAGTTCATTAAGTTGTCAGTAAATCGGTGTTCACGTGTAAAAATCACCTATTTTAGTTGTTGAATTATACAGAAAATGGCTAACAATTATTTGGTATTGTATGTGACTCAGGAATCTGAATACAAGAATCAATTTCGAGTAATTTTTAAATGTCAACAAAGGAAATACACCTTCACTATTGCCTCCTTTATTCTGTGAGAAAACTGAATCCTAGTTCAGTACATTCAAGAGAAAATTGCCTGTAAGAAAAGAAATTTCAAAGGCAGGGTTTTTTAAAGAAACATTTTGAAAAATGCGTCTTTTGTAGGTGATATGGTTGCACTATAGATTATTTCAACTCAGAAATGTGAAGGGAAAGAAATCGTGCTACTAGATTGCCCCTTTCCAGGATTAAAATGTATTTTCTTCAAAACCTTATTTTTACAGTTGCTTCTGACATTGAGAAACTTTCACTCTAAAGATTTAGTACTTAGCAGTAAATTTGGAGTCAAGAAAATAGTCATACTGACTTGACATACCCGGGCATTTGGTGCAGAAAACAAAAGCTGTGTAGGTTTTTCTAAAGTATAATGCACTATAAGAAATGCTGGATGAATTTAATAATTGCTAGATGAAGAAGTATTTTACAAAAATTAATTGAAATTAATATGAAATTCTCCAGGGGCGCCTGGGTGGCTCAGTGGGTTGAAGCCTCTGCCTTCGGCTCGGGTCGTGGTCCCGGGGTCCTGGGATCGAGCCCCGCGTCGGGCTCTCTGCTCTGCGGGGAGCCTGCTTCCTCCTCTCTCTCTGCCTGCCTCTCTGCCTGCTTGTGGTCTCTCTCTGTCAAATAAATAAATAAAATCTTTAAAAAAAAAAAAAAAAAAAAAAAAAAATATGAAATTCTCCAGGGCAAGGGACAGTTTATAGTCTTTTTTTGTAGTCCGCATTTCTAACTTGGCTTATAGTAGGTGTTCAATAAATATCTATGCAAAGAACGAAGAAATGAAAAATAAAACACAAATTGATAAAACATGCATACAGATTGAATTCATTTGCTTCTTTTAGTTTAATGAACAATTACTGAAGGCCTACTGTGTGTCAAAATTGGGCACAGTGTTTCCACATAGAGTTTATGAAAGCCTTGTGACCTTCCTTTTTTGATCATTTTTGATGTATGTTTCTATGAAGAATGGGGTTCCTTGGGTGGTATTAATGATCATCTCATATAACTGTGTAGCACGCTAAAGCATTTCATTTGTGGTGTGTAAATATACTTTCTCACAGTGGCCTATGGGAAGGCAGGCCAGATGCCATCACTCCTGTTTTGTAGGTGAGGAAATCCAGAGAGGGCGAGATTAAATGACTTGCCAGCTCCTTGCCACTGAAGCAGCAATGCCAGGGACAGAAGCTGGATCTCATGCCTAGTGTTTTCACCTCTAAATCACACTGCCTTTTTCAAGCAATACTGTACTCCAGAAAATCACTCTCAAATTAGGCTTCACGAAAAAGTCTAACTTTTGAATAACTTGTATAGAAGGAAAACTTAATATTTTACAACCTAGTAATAACTGAAGTGATTAAATGTGTGAATTCTAGAGTCAGGTGACTGAATTTGAACCCTGGATTAATAAGTTGCTAGCACTGCATCTCTGGCAAGTGACTAAATATCTCCCGAGTCTCAGTTTCCTCATCTGTAAAATGGTGGAAGTAATAGTACTTATATTATAGGGTTTGGGGAATGAGCAAATGAAATCATGTGCGTGCATAGCACAGTGTGCATGTGGCACAAACTAAGCATTCGGTGGCGACTAATTATTTTTATTCTTATTATTGTAATGTAAAGCCGTGGCTTTTATTTATTTAAAAAAAGATTTTATTAATTATTTTAGAGAGAGAGTGTATGAGGGGTTGGGGGAGGAGCACAGAGGGAAGGCGAAGGAGGGGAAAGAATCCCAAGCAGATTCTGTGCCAAGGGTGGAGCCCTGGGTCCAGTTCGATCTCATGACCCCGAGATCGTGACCTCAGCCGAAACCGAGTCTGATGTTAAACTGCTTAAGCTACCCAGGCACCCTTAAAGCAGTGGCTTTTAGTTTTTCTTTCGGCACAGTAAGAGGTAAATTTTATATTGCCATCCAGTATACAGACACATTACAAATACGTTTAAAAGAAATTCATGGATCAGTGCTTCAACTTCCTATGTGCAATGCATCCTTATATTTTTATTCTACCTTATTTTAAAATGCTGGTTAAGAACCACTAAATGATTTTAAATTTCATTAATGGGCAGGACCTTAAGTTTGAAAAGCACTAATGTAAGGGATGATCAGGTTAAATGAAAGAAAAATCTTTAATGAATCTTTATATTTTTCCTTTTAATCATTTACATCATTTGGAATGAATATTAAATTACACTGAAAATAGATTCTTAAATATTTTGTAGTAATTACAGTCATTTATTGAGCATTTATCATGATCTCGGTACTGTACTAAGCAGTCTATTTATATATGTTATCTAATTTAGGGCTCCCAACAGCCTGTAATTTGGCCCTGTGTTTCCATTTGATAATTGAGATTAAGACTCAGGTTTTATTAACTTGCCCAGGGTCATAAAGTTAGTAGAGATGAAGCAGGAATTTACACTGAGTTCTCTGTGACTCCAGAGTTATCTGTAGTCTCACCCTGTTCCAGTATTCTGTCACAGTGGTTGCTGTAGATCTGTCATTCTTTTTATGTAAATTTGAATGGCAATATCAAAAATTTACCCCTTGTGGTACATCTTTTGTAGTTTTCTTTGAAAGGATCCATTTGAAGCAAATTTTCAACTTAGTAAAGTAAGAAAGGATATTGGGTAGACTGGTAATTCATTTTGACTTTGGCTGTTCTTTGACGTAAATATTTTGAAATAGCTTCTCAGGTTTTTATGATAGAGTCAATTAATTGGTCAGTTTTATTGAGCACCCAAAGGTTTAATATGTCTTCAAAAGAGACATGAAATAGCTGTGTAACTATAAAAAAACTTCATTATGAATGAATGCCAGCTTTTGTTAAGGCACAAAATGAAGACTTAAGAGCCACAAAGAGTATTTTATAGTATATTGATTTGTCTCAAACTCACTGGGCAGTAAAGTATTTATTTTGTAAAGTACTTGTAAGGAAGCACAACTAACTGCCCTATTAATTTTTTTTTGTTGTTTTTTTGTATTTCAGTTCTTTGCAAGTGTTTCTTAAAATTTTTAGCAGTATTTCAATTTTAATTTTTTGATTTTGGGGAATTTCCTCTTTTAAAACTATTGTCAGAAAGAAAGCATGTTTTAAGGGAATATGTTCTATAAATAGTACTTAGAATTTACAAATAGGTGATTTTTTTTTTTTTTAAGACTTTATATATTTATTTGACAGAGAAAGATCACAAGCAGGCAGAGAGAGACGGGGAAGCAGGCTCCCTGCCAAGCAGAGGGCCTGATGTAGGGCTCTATCCCAGGACCCTGGCACCATGACCTGAGCCAAAGGCTGGGTGATTTTTAAATGAGAGTGGAAAAGCAGGTTTCACTGTTTTTTTCACATTTACATCTTACAGATTCAGACTCTTGTAGTGTCTAGTTTGCCTATTGCTGTCAACTTGTATGAGTATCTCTTACAAGTGAGATGATTACTAGGTGCTTAAAGATGTAGAAATATTCCTCCTGTTTTTGCATTATGGTGTCTCTGTGCAGGGAGCTTTAAACTTTTAACTGTATGTTTAAACAGTATTTGTTGAATTAAGGTGAGTCTTTTCAAATTTGATAATTTTAAAATTAGAGTTTGTGTAGATCATGATGATATATTAGACAAAGAACAGCAGTTTCAGGGTTTATGTGGTTTGAAAATCCATGTGTTTCTGTTCGTCAGTCTTTGTTTTCTATTTAAGATTAGATAAAAGTGAATATACTGTTTTATTTATTGTTGGCTATCAGATTTCGTCCTTAGCCTTTCGTCCTTTAGCCCTCAAAAAATTGTTTTGCCACTTATGAAATCTGTACAAATTTAGTAAGCTTATATCTTACGCTAATTTATTAGCTTATTGCTTTTGTCTAACACTTGACCCTGAGTGAATTGGTAGTTTCCATGAGCATCAAGAAACGTTCCAGCTGCTGAATCGTTGTTGAAATTTGATATTAACCTTGGTTACCATTACGTTTTGTACTATTACTCTTTTCTTTATCGAAGTATAATTGACATGCAATGTTATTAATTTTAGATGTACAATAAAATGATAGTACTGTTACTCTCAATGTGAAAATTCTTAGCGATAAGAGCACAATCAATTTAGATGTCTGTGCTAGTGGCTTTAAGGCAGAGCCACATGCATTTATTAGACTTACATATGTGTGATTTCCACAGATACACGAGAAGCGCAAGATGATTAACCCTTAGTCCATAAAATAAAAAAATCCTTAAGTAACTTTGTGGAAATAAAAATACAGAGTAAAAACCTTTAAAAGATGTTGAATGTCTTATACTTACATGTTATCAGAAACATTTAAGAAGCCCAACAGCCCAATCATGTGTAATAGCTTTTATATTACAATAAGTTTGCATGTGAAAAGGTGATTCCATTTGAAATGTGAAAAGGAAAAGCAGGAATATTTTCCATCAGATTTTAAAATCTTGACCAG